GGCCGTCCCCTGGGCCTTTTGCCGGTCGGATTTGCAAGGAACAGTTGCTTAGCCTTCCTTTCTGGAGCAATTCGCAACACGTGCCCAAGCGGTCGCAACTGTGACTTCTCAATCTGGAGAAGCAAAGGCTGTAATCCAAACTGATGATGCTAACCGTGAATATTCCTAGGAGATCATCCTACAGCAGTAAAATTGTCTGTGTGCTGTATTGGTGCTCACTGGTATTCCTAACCATAAAAAGCGAAAAGTGTCACGAGGCGCATGATGCAGAGTAGGTTACGGAGTAGAGTTGCATGAAAAATTCAGATTCAGACGGAATCATCGAAGCGTGAGACTTCAAATGGTTCATTTCACAGCTCAGAGAATCTGGCCCCATTTTTGGCGGGAAGGATTGAGGTCAAAACGAAAGCGAGAATGCAGTACAACTACAGACTTATTTTACCGCTGATTTATTGACCATGACAACGATTCGAAATAATTCTTATAAGTTTAAGCATAAAAATTTTGGCTCGCATTATGGCATTAAGTATTCATGTGCGAATCTATGATGATATGAATGACAGTTTGGCTTATAATCAGAAAAAGGTCAACGTCTGTGCGTCCAGTGCATATGAACGAGGGAATGGAATACGGTACACTCTAGTTACTGCCATTGCGTTCATTAGAAGCTGTTTCAGAAGACACTTACTTTTGAAGATTTTCGGCGTGCAGCTTCGAACGCAGACCTTCTCTTTCGATATAATCGGGGGCTTGGTCAATGAGTCGATATTGCCATTTCTATCCAGACGACCCGGATGCGCCGGGAAAACGAAATTGAAGCAGTCTTCGTCAGTGAACTGTACATCATTGATCAGATCTGTCGTCGTTCGCGGTCGAATGAAGGTCGCCCTGAGCATGCCATTTTCGTGCATTCCCACCACCTCTGGTAGAACCAGGTTTTGTTCCGGGTCCAGTTTCGGCACGCTGAGGGGCGATGCGACGTTCATATCCGTCACCGTCAGTTGATTTTTATGGCTTTGGACAACAATCATGTCAATTTTATTCTAAAACGTTACTTTTAAGAACTAAGTCGGCAAACTGTACCCATTAACATGATTTCTATACGACGTATTAACAACAATAAAATTGGTAATAAATATGCTGCATTATGTGACTGTACTAGTTTCAAAGCAAAATGTGCAAATCGTGAAAAGGGCTATTATAATGAACTAGAGGATGTGGGTGCTAAAATGGTATCTGACGTACGATCAGACCAGTCGTAAAACACAAACTTTAAAAATATGAGATCATGGGCCAAGGTGTATTAACCAATGGTCTTGTTGACACATTCCAGCGCATTAATCTATACTTGAACCAAGAACATACTCACATGAGCAGAAAGTATGTTTCGCAACTCCAAAACACATGGCTACTACTGATAAGCACAGCTCAATCGTAATACTGGGTTCATTCAGGGAAAACTGCTGCCAGAAATAGGCAGAAACCATGTTTTGTTTTACACAAATATACAAAAAAAGATATTAACTGAAAATTCTAAGTTTTTAGTCCTCCTGTCCTCAATAAAGCTGCGTTTGTACAGTCTGAACAGTTTCCTCTTAAGGAGTCGTAAATTCTAGCATTGTTACTCTATCGTTGTCAATTTTAATAATGTAGCTTCACTGCAAGATGCCATGCCTTGGTATTTGAAGAAAACCCAATTCCAGTCCATGATTCCTCCGGTACGCTTGCCGCAATGGTGAATTCAATGCTGTCGATTTCGTCGATGTAGGCCCACGTTGCACGGAACTGGCAGTCAGTGCATCCCGGAGGATAGTGCCACTCGCCGTAACAAACATCTCCAACGATTGGACCTGTGAATGAAGTTCAGAAATGAAAACAAACACTTAAAAGATTATTTTGTAAGCTACCTGAATTTTCTGATATAAAAATGGGAACGTCTACGGATAGTGGTATTTCTGTGACGAATTGCTTCCGTACAGATGGCTGCAGATGGATCAGTGAAGACTTCGATGAGGCAAGAGTACTCCTAGCAGTAATGAGCATATTCGCTGGGTATACTGAAGCAGTGGTAGTAGTTTGAATAGGCGAAGTTGTGTCTTCTGGTAAATTTCCAGTTGTAGTCGATTGATATGGATACGTGGATGTTGAATCGGCAACCACGGCGGTTATAGTAGTACTTTGAACTTTTGTTGTGACTTCCTCTTGTTTTCCTAGGAATGTACATTATTCATAACGGCAGGCTTTTTTGATTCATATAATGATATACATTATGGAGCACATGGTTAATTTGTATGGCAGATTTGAGCTTAATGGTAAGTTATTGTAATAATAAACGCGCCATCTGATATTTCTGAGACAACTCTACGAGGAAAAAATGTTAACTAGCGCATTGCGACAGAATAATTTCTACTTAAAGGGAATTTAGGTTAAAAAGGATGAATAATTTAAGACCGAAATTTATCTCCAACTTAGTTATTATGCATCTTGAATATTATACTTTCTCAAGATGAATTAATTGCTGCTTTGCTCGGATTAGTTTTCAACCGCTGCAATGAAATTCCCTAATTATTGTAGAATTCAGT